TCTCAAACATTTTCTTGCATTTGGTCAACACATTCTTACTAATATGCCAACGACATAATAAATGTCTGGCACTCGGGAATATCTTCTATATGGCATTCATCAAGGCTAGCTCTCTGTCAGTAACAATAACTGTTGGCACAACAAACCTGTCCATGGCATCACGTAATGTGGCTAACACCCACGCATAGTTATCGACCCTCTCATACTGTAAGTATGCAAAAGCTACAGAGAATAGTTGATGTCACTCCCACAATTTCAAGAAGAGGAAGCCGATATCTGTTGGTTTTATATGTGCAATCCATAACTAATATACGTGGGAAAGACCGAAATAAGTCCAAACTGGTAGGATGTGCCCAAAACAAGTCAATCACAGTCATCGTGGACTCTTCAGACCGATGGCGCTCAATGTAATTATACTTGGCCAATTCACCCAATAAGTGTTGCATCTGTGATCTTCCAGCTCTCTGTACCACCCTGTTTCGATGGCGTACATTGTAAATGGTTTTAAGTGTGCTTACATTGAGGGCATCTTGCTGTTTCAAGGTTACTAGGATTTCTTTTTGCCGAACCATGCTCTTTGACATATCCATTAACAATGCTTTCTCATCCTTTGATAGCCTCCCCTCATATGAATGTCCCTCGAGGTGCTCTGCAGGTGGATGATTATGCAATCCGCATACTACAGTCAATGTCCATTCATCATATGTGGTAAACCTGTGAGCCCTCATATCAAAAGGACAACCACACTTCTTCGTACCGGTTATTCTTGATGTATTGTTGCCATCATGTTTTAACTTCTTTGTTGCTCTATATTGGCCACTCCTCTCACAAGCAAGATACATCCTCGGTCTTTTTTTCCATCCACCATAGTCTGATGTTTTGATTACAATGACCAAACCATTTCTCTTTCCAACTTCACGCACCCAGTTGAGCAATTCATCCTTACTTTTGAATACCTACAAAGTTAAATAAATATTATCAAACATTTACATTTGGTGAGAAATTCAAAACATAATCGTTATAATTTCGTAGACTGAACCTGTTCAGTTGTGAAATGAGTGGTGTAATCTAACACAAAATCCGCGCAAACCTGACTTCCTTGAGTTGAAACATATTCCTGCATGTTTTGTATAACATTACAAATTTTTAATGGCATTATAAAGATTAATTTGCAATTTGAAACTGTAAATTTGGTATGCAGTTTGCAAATTTGGAATATAAAATGGAAAAAAAAAATTTACTTCATTCGGAAGTAGTTGTCCGAATTTTTTTTCAAATTTCGGAAGTTGAATGTTGTACAAGTTAACTTTGTTCGGACAACAACTTCCGAATTTGAATAAATTTTTCGGACAACAAGTTCCGAAATTTATCACTTTTTTCGGACATAGACTTCCGGAAATACATAATTATTTCGGTAGTACATTTCTGAACAAAATAACAAAATTCGGCTCTGGTTATCCGAACGACGCTGCGAAAAAAAAAAAAATTAAACTCACATTTCCTTCGCTCTGCTTCACATGAATACTTATTTGCTGATTTTCAGAAGACAAATCCTCCATCACAAATAAGTAATGAAGAATGAGGAAGGAAGAATGAGGAAGACAGCTTGTGGAAGGAATTAAAACCCTACAGAAATGCCAAAGCCATTTTCAAAGAAGCATGCCAAACCATTGGTCTTACACACACGATGCAACAATGTGAAGGTGTGCACTGAGATGTTTTTAATTGACAATGGTGTCTAAAATGGTAATTTCACTTAGGGATAAAATTGTAATAAAATAAAATATCATTAAGTGTGTGTATTGAGGGGATTAGGTGTGTGTATATAGAAGCTCCTGCGAAATGAATTTACAATTGGGGAAATTACCATTTAGCCTAATGAACTAAAAATAATTACAAAAAGTTGGAGGTGCAATTTTTTTTATGTGAATTACATCCCACATCCTTTGGTAATTATTTTCCCCACCTTTTACTGTTTAGTGATTTCTCCTTAACAATTAACTCAGTTTTGTTCTGTGCAATGAAAAGAAAATTTTAATTTTTAAATATTTCAATTTTTATTTTTATTTTTTTTGTTTCTTAAAAGATTGAAAAAGTTTTGTGTAATTTTTTCTTTGCGAGCTAATAGTTGGCCGAAATGTACAATTTGTTGATCCTTTAAATTTTTCTTTGAATTGTAAGTTTTTAATTAGATTGGACCAATAGAGAAATTTTCTGAAATTAAATTAATGTATTCAATCTTAATTTTTTTAATTATTTTATACCCAATAAAAAACAATTAAATAGATTTGACATACTTTGTTGTTTATTTGCATTTTTATAAAGCCATTAAAATCAGGAATTGTTTAATTGCTAGACTTGTATATTTAGATGGTGGCTGAATATCCTTCTGATCTTTTGTCAAATGTAGCCTGTATTCATTATTCACTACTTACTTACTATTTAATTAAATCCTACTAACTACTCAATGAAATTTTACTTATTATTTCAAATTAGATTTGATTTATCACTCAATTAAATCTCATTTACAGCTCAATGAGACTCTATTAATTATTTCATTTGACTTGACTTATTGTTTCATTAAATTCTACTAACTATTCAATTAGACTTCATTTACCACTTCATTAAACTTTACTTACTACCTAATTAAACCTTGCTATTTGTTGATCCTTTAAATTTTCCTTCATTAGACTTGACTTACTAATCAATTAAACCACATTTACTACTTAATGAGTCTTCACTTACTATTTTATTAGACTTCGCATACTAATCAATTAAATCTCAATAGACTCCACTTACTACTCAATCAGCTTTCATTTAATATTTCATTACACTTCACTTACTACTCAATTTTGGTTTCACTTACTACTTCACTAGACTTCACTTACAACTCAATGAGTTTCTACTTACTATTTTATTACACTTCAATTACTATTCAATAAGCTTCCATTTACTATTTCACTAGACTCCACTTACTGCAGAATGAGTTTCCACTTACTACTCAATCAATTTTCACTTACTATTTCATTACGCTTCACTTACTACTCAACTTTAGTTTCACTTATTATTCAATGAGCTTCCACTTATTACTTCACTAGAGGCCTTATCACGGAATGGTTTTGCCCCTTTAACAAACTCAATCACTTCATATTTGCAAATATTTGGATTGTATTTGATATTATAGGATGCATGACAACTCTAGTTAATCATTTCGATTCTCTTTTACGATCTTCTACCTTAAGGTATTTAGATTGTTGATGCCCTTCTCTTGAGCAAATCCATCTCCTCGATATAGCCATATTACTCTTGTCCTTATACAACTAATCTCTTCGAATACTAAAACCTTTCACCTTTACATGCATATTGTAGAAATTTTTTTTCATTTTTTACCAAATCTAATGTCATTTCAAATATATCTTTTTCAGTTAGTTGATCCATACAGTTAACATTTCTTTTGGTTGGGAGATCATGAAAATTAACAATATTCCTCTTGATTGCCAAGTTGTGCTCACCAATGTCAATATCATCATCATCATCATCATCATCATCATCATCATCATCATCATTATGTAATGAATAATACTAAATGCACCAATTGGTATACAAATTAGTGTACTAATAGATGATATGGCATAATTTTAGAGGCTTAGGATATTTGAAATTTGTATAATGAGTGAGGTTAGTAATAATGTCATAACATATGTCGGTACACTAATTGGTATACCAATTGGTACATGTAGCACCACCATTATGTAATTCATATACGATGTTGTTATGCCCAATGTTGTCTTCCATCTGTGATAAGTATAATAAAATTAATTAGATCAAACCAAATGGTAAGTGATATTGCAATTAGTTAATGAGGCTCAACTTATTATTTTATTAGATTTCACTTATTATTTAATTAAATTGTACTTGCTATTTAATGAACTTCCACTTACTACTTCATTAGACTTTACATATTACTCAATAATCTTCCACTTAATATTTTATTACACTTCACTTACTACTAAATTAAACCATATTTTCCATTATAAGCAGGCTCTACTTACTACTCATTGATACTTTACTTACTAAGTGGTAAACTAGTAAGTGGTAAGTTGAGTCGCAAAATGTTGTAAGAATAACTTAGTAAATCATAAACTCAATGATTGGTCAATAATAAATAGAAATATGAATTTCAAATTACTAACACAAGAAATATGAATTTTAAACAAAATGTGAAAATATAAAAATTTATTAGACTTAACTTAGTACTCAGTAAGACACAATTTAATTTGACTTGATTTACTACTCAATTAAATCTCACTACAACTTAATGATTGGGCAACTTACTACTCAATTAAATCTCACTTACTATTTAATGAGATTCTACTTACTATTTCATTAGATTTTGCTTACTACTAAAGTACACCACTTACTACTTAATAAGACTCTGCTTACTATTCGTTGATATTCTACTTACTACTCCATCAAACTTAACTTACTAATTTATTAAATTTCACTTACTACTTAATTAAACTCGATTTACTATTTAATGAAACTCCACTTATTATTCAATGATTTATTTTTTATTTTTTATTTTTAATTAGGCGAAATGTTGTTCCAACAAAACCTTAAAATTAATAAATTAAAAATATCACATAAGTTAAAATAAAACATAGACAGAGACATAGATAGATTCTTACATGGGGACTTTCTCAAATTTGTAAAATGGATGTTAAGTGGTAAATTTGTAGACTTCCATTTATGTTTCAAAATATTGTAGATATTAAATTTGTGAAAACATATTCATAGCCAATCCCATGAATTTGTGGGGAGAAAAAAAATCATTTCACTATGGATTTTAAACTCATTAAAACTACACTTATTACTCAATAAGACTGTAATTACTACTTTATCAAACTTGACTTACCACTCATTTGAATCACACTTACTACTTAATGAGATTCTACTTACTAGGTTGGTAAAATGGATGGTAAGTGGTCGGTTGAGTCACAAAGAGTTGCAAATAGAATGAGAAGGAATGGAATCCTCAAATGAATTTGAATTTTTTCTATATTTTGTCAATCGTATTTCTCATTAATTGCATTTGTTATGGTAGATGAAAAAGATAACAGGTTTCATTTATTGCCATTCATTGCCATTAAGTAGATAAATAATAAAAAAAAAATCATATTCCATAAAATGTAAAAAATTATAATAAAATTTATAAATTTCATATTTATTTTGTACATTTTTTTTATTTTTTTTTATAAATTTTATATTTATTTTAGAGGTTAGGTGCATTTTATTAACGTTTGAATGATAAGTGTAGTTATGTGGAATAGTAAGTACAACCATATCAAGTAGTAAGTGTATTTAGTTGTTGTAGTAAGTTGGAAACTACTCATTTAAACCGTACTTACTATTTTATCACACTTACTTACCACTCATTTAAACCACACTTACTACTCAATGAGACTCTACTTATTACTTTATCAGACTTGACTTACCACTCATTTAAATAACACTTACTACTCAGTGAGACTCCACTTACTACTTTATCAAACTTGACTCATCACTTAAAGTTACTACTTTATCAAACTTGACTCATCACTTAAACAATACTTACTACTCAATGGAGCTGTATTTACTATTTTAGTAGACTTGATTAATCAATTATTTAAACTAAACCTAAGACTGCCGTTACTATTTCATCAAACTTGATTTTTTTTTTCTTACCACTTAAATCTCATAATTTTTCTTTTAACTAGGTGAAATTGTTGTTCCAACAAAACATTAAAATTTATAAATTCAAAATATCATCAAAAGTTAAAGTAAAAAAAAGAGATAGAGACTA